TCCTAGCAAGGGTCCAGGTGGGAACAGGCTGACACAGGCCAATCCAAGAGCAGAACAGGGCGTGGGGGCTCCGGGTCAGATGCAGCGGGAGGGAGCCCAGCGCAGTCCCACAGGTGAGCCGTGGAGGGGACTTGGCTCCAGCTGGGCAGGCGGTGTGACGCCCACAAGGCGCTCAGCCACTCTGGCCTCAGCTTCCCCGTCTGAGCAGTGGGGACGGCCGAGCCTCCCCAGCAGGTGCACCTGAGTACACAGCAAAACAAAGGACGTGCTGCCTCCCCTCCTCCGATGGCGGTTGGGCCCCACATTGTCTAGCCCTTTCTGGGGCCCACACTACAAGTGGACTGGCCGTCGTCAAATGAGCCTGTGGAATGTTTCTCTGGAGTGTTTGGCTTGGTCCCTCGGATTTCAAACGCCCAGCCGCGTGGGCCCCGGAACCTGGTGCAGGTACCATATGTCTCCCCAGAATAGTAAGCAGTAAAAATACCCCCTTTAAAATAGAAACTGCTTCCCAACTTGGAGGAACAATCTGCCAGCCTCTGCCTGGCGGCTGGTTGGTGACTTCCTGGGCTCCACAGCCCTGCCCCCCGCCCCCCGCGCTCCGCTTGCTCTTCCAACTGTGAGGCCCAAAATAGCTCCGAGCCGATGGCTGGCGCCTGGCCAGCCGTTCTTTCCTTCCTCTTACCTGGGGTCCCCCTGGCAGAGCCCCGGGCCTGCAGGAGGGGATGGGCAGGGCAGACACAGGCTGTGGGGCAGAGGCCACCCTGCACCGCAGCCCTGGTGTGTACTGAGGTTCCCAGACCCATTTACGGGGTCGTAGCACCCACCTAGTGCCAGGCCCTGCGCGCAGGGGAGGCAGGAGGCTCCCAGAATGCCTACGGTGCTGTCCGGGGGTGGACATCTGCCTGCTGTGAGCAGCCGGGAGGGAGTTAAAGTGAGCCGCGGGGCTGAGGGAGTGGGCCGCAGCGGCCGGCGGGTGGAGTGGGCAGTGGGGTGAAGTTGCAGGGTGGACACCGAGTCCAGCCAGCAGGGGCCAGCCTCGCCCTGTCGGCCCCCCGTGCGGCCGGGTGTTGGACCCCAAGGCTCTGGGACCCGCCACGCCTGGGGACCCTGGCAGCGTCACTTTGGACTGGATGTCCATGTCCTTCTTCCACCCCTGGGCCTGCCCGTCACCAGGGTGTGAGCAGTAGGCTGGCTGTCCCGTCCTGCCCCTCTGTGAGACCAAAGGGAGTCCCATGCAGCCCAGGGACGCCAGTGCCCCAGGACTCAGTGAATGGAGGCCAGGGGTGGAGCTGCCCGGCTGCCCACCCAGGTGCTGGCCACTCACAGGGCATGTCCTGGCACCACAGAGCAGGCCTGCTGCAGCGTCCCTGTAGGAGGCCTTGGAGAGCAGGGTGCTCCTGGTGCCTGGGCCCCTCCTAAGGGTGTCACCACCTGTCACTCCAGCCACTGCAGTGACGCACGGAGTGGAAATGGCAGATGGAAGGACACGGACATCCCCAGTCTAAGCCACCAAAGCCCCAGCCGGGGCCCAGGCCACCTTGGGGACCCATGTCTACTAAGCCACGTGGACATGAGGGAATGTAGAGCAGGTGACAACCTCCATGTTCCCGGGCTCCCATGTGCTGTAGAACTGTCCTGTGGCCACCTCTCCAGAGCCCCACAGCTGGGAACTCCTGTCCCCTGGCCTGGAGACTGACGTCCAGGGCATGGTGTGAGCAAGCCAGCTCCTCTGGAGGCTCACAGGACTGTCCACTCTCTGCCTTTTCCTGGTGTCCTGGGCAGTCCCTGGACATCCGGGACTCCGAGGTGCACCCCTCCCATATCTGTGTCCATCTGGTCATCTTAGGAGGACACCAGTCATTGGCCTGGCCACCCTGACTCAGAAGGATCTTGACTGAGCTCATAATCACATGGCCAATAGGGTCACGTTCCCAGGTGTGGGGTCAGGGCAGGGGCGTCCTTCTAGGGGACACGCTGGACCCATCGTGGCCCTCTTGCCAACAGAACCCAGACCCTGCTGCCCCCTCCCCACAGGCTCCCCTCGGCACCTCAGCCTGTCAGAGCCCGGTCCTCGCCCCCGTCAGTGTCCCCTTGTGCAGACAGCCCCTGTGTCCATCACGCCCTCCCGTCCACCCCCGCTGCTCCGCTCCCCCTAGGCCCCAGGTCAGCCGTACCCGGTGATGCGCCCACCTGCTGGGCTCCCCCTGAGCTGGAGTCTCATTCGTGGCAGAGGTCCACGGTCCAGCCTCAGTGTCATGACAGGGCGGGCATCAGCGCACCAAGGGCCAGCACTGGGCACAGGGTGGGCACTAGTGTCCTGCCGTGGGGAGGCCACGCTGGCTGGAGGCTCACGCTGCCCTGTGTTGCAGATCATCCTGGTGAGCTCCTCGCTCAGCGACCGCGAGCAGAGCCTCTTCCTGAGCACCGACGAGGGCGCCACCTTCCAGAAGCAGCCGATTGCCTTCCTGGTGGAGACCCTCATCTTCCACCCCAAGGAGGAGGACAAGGTCCTCGCCTACACCAAGGAGAACAAGGTAAGGGGGCACAGGGGCGCGTGCAGTCGACAGGGCAGGGACACCTGCCGCAGACCCGTGGGTGGGGCACCCTATTGGACAAACGTCAGCTCAGAAGCAGCCTTCTCCCTCAGTGGGACTCAGACACCTAGGCTGGTGCAGGAGAAGCCTCCCGGGGGTTGCGAGGCCCAGACTCTAGTCACAGGTGTGTGGCCCGTGTCAGCGTGGGGAGTGTCAGTGTGGGGAGTGACAGCTGCCTGACTGTTGTGGGGACTAAGGAAGGTGGAGGTGAGCAGGCACTGGGCACAGAGGCCTGGGGAGGGTCAGTCGGTCACAGCTGGCCACCGCATTGTTGCACTCTGTCTCTCCCCACACACTAGCCATTAGGGCCTTCCCCTACTTCCAGAATGCTCCGCACACCTCCTGGGCCAGGTCTTGCAGGCCCTTTCCCTCTGCCTGGGATGCGCGTCCACCTTCACCAACAGGAGCCAGGTGACCCTCATTTCAGGGCAGCATCCGCTCCTTGGGAGCCATGTCCTCCAGGCCCTGCCGGGAACAGGGGGTCCTCCGCACGGCAGGGAGCGTGGCAGGTGCCCAGCCCTTCACAGGACCTGGAAGCTGGCCCGGGGGTGGGAGAGCCCCTGCTGGTGTGGGCAGAGCCGGCCCACCAGCTCCTGGAGGCCGTGAGGGGAGAGGTCACTGGGCGGGAAAGGCCCCAGAGAGGAGCCAGGGCTGGGGAAGAGGCCTTGGTCAGCTTCCTGCAGCCACTGTGACCAGTGACCAGAGGCTGTCTGGCTCAGCGTAACTGTGACAAAACTGGCCTCTCACAGTATGAAGTCAGACTCACTGCACTGAGATCCAGGTACCGCAGGGCCGCGCTCCTCTGGACTCCAGGGAGAACCTGGCCTGGCCTTTGCTGGTTCCCGAGGCTGCCAAGCTCCCCCTTCTAGCTGCAGATGCCACTCTCAGGGACAGCATCTTCAAACCTCCCTGCTCCGTCTGCACAACACCCACTGCGTGTGCGCGTGTGCAAGTGTGTGTGCATGTGTGTGTGCGCGCGCGTGTGTGGGAGATCTCTCCTGCCATCCCTCGTTCACATGGAGCCCCGCCCCCGGCAGCCTAAGGTCATCTGTGCATCTTAACAATCACATCTGCAAAGTCCCGTTTGCCCCGTAAGGTACAGTCCAGGTTCTAGGGATGAGGACTTGGCTTTGGTGAAGCCGTTTTTGGCTTCTCGTCATGCCCGAGTGCAGTCCCGGGGAAGGTGGCAGGAGGGGCCTTGTCCTGGTTACAGTAACACAGCCCCTGCCAGCTGTGGCTGGACGGTCAGGACAGGAGGAACGTTGTCCCAGCCCCTCTCTTCCTTCCCACCGGTCTTCTGCTGGGGCCACTCGTGGGTGACTCAACCAGGTATCAGAGGGAGGAAGTGCTGTCCCCTGAACAGGCCAGGCCCCCACCAGCGAAAGGAGGAAAGGGCAGCAGGGGTCTGGGGGGCAGGTGGAGGCCACTCAGGGCAGCAGCCTCCCTTTGCAACCTGTGTCCCCACTGCCTGCCCTCTGGGGTCCTGTGGATGGAGGAAGGGAGAGAGGGAGGGTTGAATGGGTGGGTGGGTGAGTAGATAGGTGGATGGAAGGACGGGTGGATAGGTGGGTGGGTGGATGGATGGATAGATGAATAGATGGGTGGATGGATGGGTGGGTGGATGGATGGAAGGATGAGTAGATGGGTGGATGGACAGTTGCATGTGTGGATGGATGGATGGGTGGGTGGATGGGTGGATGGACAGTTGGATGGGTGGATGGAAAGATGGGTGGATGGATGAATAAGTGAATAAATGGATGGGTGGGTGGGTGGGTGAGTGGATGGGTGGATAGGTGGATGGAAGGATGGGTGGATAGGTGGGTGGATGGGTAGATGGATGAATGAGTGAATAAATGGATGAATGAGTGAATAAATGGATGGATGGGTGGGTGGATGGATGGAAGGATGAGTGGATGGGTGGGTGGATGGATGTAGATTCATGAGTGGGTTGTGGGTGGGAAGGTGGTAGACAACTGGAGTACACCTGGATGAGGTGGTGAATATGTGGGTGGATGAGTGGATCAGGGTGGATGGGTGGGTGGTGTATGAGCGGGAGGGAGATGAATGAATGAATGAACTGGTGGAGGTCGGTTAGATAAATGACAGATGGCTGCCAGGAGGGATCAGCCAGGGCAGAGACCTGCTTAGAGAGGCTCCTGGCTGGACTGAGCCCAGCTGTCCTCAGGGCCTGGCCTCCTTGCCAAGATCTGGAGTCCCGCATCCCCTGGCCTTGGGGCCGCCTCTGCTCCCAGCACCTTGCTCGGCCCGGCGTGTGCTTGTGGGTGTTAACAGTGCGACTTGGCCTCCCCTGTAATCTGAGCCGAGCACAACCACGGAGACTCATTTTCCTGCGTCGCGATGGCTCTTTAATTTATGGTGCCCTGAAAAATTAATGGAGCTGAAATCTTGGTTCTTTTCCTTGGCTCTTTTCTGTGAGTAAGGAAAGAAAAAGGGAGTAAAGAGGTTTATTTAAGGTTGTAAAGGAACGAGAAATCGGTGGGAATTAATAACAATGACAGCAGGGCTTTAGGTTTGGGGAGTTTATAGGGTTTTAAAGATCTCTAATTCCCAAGAAGCCGGGCAGTGCCGGGGACAACGCCAGGCCTGGATACCAACAATCTGGTGCACAGGCAGGTGCCTGCTGCCACATGCTGAACAACACACCCGCCCAGCCCAGTGGCTGCTTGTGGGCAGAACCATGGGCACTGGAGCTGGACACACGCTGCTGACTGGTCCAGCCTGTGGTGTGGCTGGGATCCGCTGGGCTGTGGGGTTGGTGGACGTGGCTCCTGGGCACAGGGTCTTGCTCCACTGACTCTCCCTGGGCTCCCGCTCTCTTCATGATGGGCAGAGGCCCCCGGGCACAGGCAGCCTCTGTGTGCTGGCTTGGACCTGTGGCACACGGTGTTGATCAAAGTGCGTCACATGCCGAGCCCAGAGTCAGCAGGGTGGACAGGTGGGCACTGACGGGAGCCCCTTCCTCCCCTGTGTCCTCCCCCTCACTCTGGCTGACCCCACCTCCCACCCCCCTCAGACCCTCACCGTGTCACTTTGATGGGGTCCTCCCAGGCGGCCTTACCTGGGGCCTGGACAGGCTTCCTTGGGGACAGCCCGATGTGGTCTTCTTCCCAGACTCGGGAAACTCGTGAGGCTGCTGTGGTCGGAGGGTAGGCCTGGCCCGCCCTTCCTGGGCCAGCTCTCCGTGACGCTGGCACGTGTGCCCATGGGTGCTCCCTATGCTGGGGCCTCTGCCGCTTGTGGGCAGAGCCATGGGCACCGAAGCTGGACACACTTAAGCTGGACTTTACACCTTGGCTGGTTTTCCTTCCCTTCCCAGCACCGAGATGTTGGTTTCCTTCCAGAAACTCAGAGGAGCCAGCACGGCTAGGGGTGGGCGGTCAGGGAGGACTCACTGGGGGACACTGCCCGGGGCTCAGGTGCATCACTTCTAGGGCAGCTTCAGAGCATGAAGGTGACCATGGGGGAAAGGGGGGACAAGAGGACACTGTTGTGCTCCAGCCCTGGCAGGGTCCGCGGGCATCCTGTCAAGCGAAGGCCGGTGCAAAGGGGCAGCCCTTGTAATGTGGGGTGAGAGGCCAGACGTCTCGCTGGGCACTGACCGGTGGGCACCAGGTTGCTGGCAGGGACTCAGGGTCAGCAGCAGTCTGCAGCTCTCTCTGACCCCAGCCTTCAGGACCCAGAAGCAACGTGACTTCGCCCTGGTGATAGAACAATTTTGTTCATTTTGCTCTGACCACTGGCCTCTGCTGGGGCTCCACAGGGACAGGTGTCACTCTGGGTGTTTGAGCACAAAGGGGCTCCAGTGGGCAGCGTCGGGTGCTCTCTAAAGGTTGGAGGAGCGGATGGGGCTTCAGCCTGGACCCTCAAGGGTGCTCCCAGGAGCCTGCAGCCTGGACACCCGGGGACCTTCAGCCTCTGCCTGTCAGGAAGGTGGGCAGCAGGAGCCCCTGGACTTGCCAATGTCACGAATGCAGGGCTGGGGCTGAGATCCAGGCAGCCCAAGTGGCCACTGCCCCTGCCCCTGCAGCCAGCCAGACTCGGGCCCAGAGCCAGCCCCACTCACCCCACGGCCTCTCCCCTCCCCAGCTGCCCCCAGAGAAGCCAAGGGCAGGAAAGGCCTCATCCCACTGTGGCATTGTGGGGGCGTCCCCAACCTGGTCTCCAACGACAAGGGAGTCCAGGCGCTGTGGGGCTGGAGGCTTCCCGCTGTGCAGGGTGACGGGGTCTGAGTGCCGCCAGTCGTGTCCAGCTGCCGGGAGTGCCCGGGCCTCTGTGTGCACTGCCTGCCGACCCTGTCCTCTCTGCCCTGCCGCCTTCTTGCCTCCACGCGGCAGGTGCCGCCACACAGCACATCCTGCTTCCTTCGCCCCGTGGACGGAGCTGTGCAGTTGGGCTGTGGGGACTGCGATGTCCCCGGGGCTTGACCCTGTTCATTGCTGGTGTTTGCCATTTATTAAGCAGAAAGTCCTATTTCTGAAGCCAGGGATGGTGGATTGTAAAATCATCTCCCGTGAGACTGAATCGGAAATGCTCCACGAAGTCCCTGGGGGGCATCAGATACAGGAGCAAAGGCGGTGACGACAGTGACGATGGCTTCGTTGACATGGAGGCTCTGTCACGGGCTCCCAGGGACGATACTGTGGACTGGTACTTGGTCCACCGACTGCGGCTGTGAGCAGGGCTCTCCTGGTTTATAGATGGGTAAACTGAGGCACAAAGGGCCTGAGTCATGCAGCCGACCAGAGGGCAGACTCGGGTGACCGGTCACCTTCCTGGGCTGCTCAGCGAACTGATCGCTCTGCGAACAGGTCTGCCGGGCGGAGACCACTACGCGACCTTGGGCAGCGGCCTGTTTCCCTGAGCCTTGGGTTTTGCATCCGCAGAGAGGGAGCCGTGCTCACCGTGCATGTGCGTGGGTGTGTGTGTGCGCGTGCGTGGGTGTATGCGTGGGTGTGTGGTTGTGTGCGTGGGTGTGTGCGTGTGTGCGCACATGTGTGTGCGTGTCCATGTGCGTGTGTGGGTGAGTGTGTTAAATGAGGAGCAAGTGACACATGTGCCTCGGCTCCTGGCGCCTTGACCACGGCTGCTGGCAGGTGCTCACGGGCCCAGACAGACGAGGACGTCCCCTGCCTGCTGTGGATATTGGCTGAGCTCTGCCTCGGGACGGGCCCGTTTGAAGGGACACAGGGGCTGCTTGTCCTCATGAGACTTAAGCCCTCTAAGTGCCAAAGGTGGTGGTTTCTCATCATGGGCCCCGAGCAGGGGTCAGCGCACAGAGGCCTGCCGCCTGTCCTCGTGATAGCCAGTAGCCACCCACTGGCCTGTGTGCCGCCTCTGGCCACCGCGCTCTTCCCAGAGTGAGATGGGTGACTGGTCTAGAGACAGCTCGGCCAGCAAGGCTGGCCCTTCACAGAGCAGGCCTATGAGCTCCTGCCCTGGAGCCAAACGTGTCCACTCACCCAGAAAACACCAGTGCACCTGGCCACGAAGGCCCGGGCTCAACTCTGTGCCCAGGGTGAGCAGAGCATGGGCAACGTGCCGTGTGCAGAGAAGTGGGAAATGAAATGCCCCTCCTGGAACAGGGGTGTGCTCTGACAGACCCAGGCTGCTGGGAGGGGCCAGGACTGCAGAGGACCTGGTGCTTGTGGCGCTCATGCCAGGACTATGTCCTCCAAGGTCCGTGTGCTGAGCCCCGACCCCAGGACCTTGGTATGTGACTGTGTGTGGGCCTCTTCACAGAGGTTGGTAAGGTCAAGCAAGGTCACTAGTGGGGAGCTTCATCCTGTCTGGTTGGCATCCTCATGAGAAGGGGAGACCAGGACAGACACACAGAGGGACCACCACATGAAAACACGGGGGAGACTGCATCCACACACCCAGGAGGGAGGAGCCTGCCCTGCCCACTTCTTGACCTTGGACTTTTGGCCTCTAGGACTGGGAGCGACTGCATTGTTTGAGCCCAGCTCTGCGGCTCTGTGGCACGGTGCTATGGCCGTCCCCTCAGACTGGCAGAGCAGCTAGTGTAGAGAGCAGCCAGACGGAACCCTGGCCGTGGGGAGGCACCTGCATGCTCGGGGACCTGGCTGCTTCCTTGTGGTCTCTCCCTCCATCAGAGGGAGGTTCCGTGGAAAGGGGCCCCGGCAGCCACTCAGCACCTGGACGACAGACCGGGAAATGTGGGCTGTTGTCTGCAGAGCGTCAGGTGGGGAGGAGGCTCCTCTGAAGGGCTGGGGTTACCTGGGTGGCAGCGAGAGGAAGGATGCTGTCCCAGGCAGAGGGATCACACGTGCAAAGGCCCGGAGGCCACCACGTGGGGCAGCAAGTGGTTAGCAGGGATGGCTGGGTGCAGGCAGGGTGAGTGTGTGAGAAAGCCCAGGGGGGTCGCCAGCCTCCATAGGGCATCTGGGGGCCACAGAGGGTTAGCTGGGCAATGACTTCGCCACTCGAGAGGAAAGTCTTACGGCCATGGCTATTTTCTGCATGTGGCTCCAGAGCTAAAGAAGCAGGGCTTTGATTCCAGTGTCATTACCAGGGCAAAAGCATTCAGTTAGGACAGGCTGGAGGGGCTGCCTCCCCAGGGGCTTATGGTGAGGTCCCGGGGGGAGCAGCCTCCCTGAAGTGGGGCCTCTCCCCTGCCTCCGTCCTGGAGGATATGTCCTGGTTGCTGGAAGGCACTGGAGGCAGCTGGAGTCTGTGCCTCTTGAGGCCTGCGCTGGGGCTCTGCTCCCTCCTCGCAAGGGGGCCACAGAGGCAGGGACCCCAGAGCCACAGTGGGCAGGGAAGAGGCGGGTGCACGTGTCCTGCATCAGCACCCACTTCCTTCCCACGGGTGGTCCTGCCCGTGTCCTGCTGCGGAGGCTCCAGGGCCCTCTGCTGGGCTGGGCTCCCCTGGCTCCCCTCCAGGTGTGGGCTTTCCCAGCTCCCGGCCAACGGCCCACTCAGCCTCCGCTGAGCAGGGAGCGCAGAGCAGGGCAGGGTCTGGTCAGTTCTTCTCTGAATTCCGAAGTGGGCCCAGCTGGACAGCAGTGAGGCACTGGGGCAGGGGCGCTGTCCACCTGGTTCTGCTCCAGGGAAGGGGGCCGGGGCCGGGACACCTCTGAGATTTGGTGAGTCAGAGGTGGGTGGGGAGGCCATTGAGAACACAGTGGGGACAGCAGGGGGGCGGGGAAGGCAGCCTCCCTGGGGACAAGAGCCCTGCAGGCCCGGAGGGCAGGGAGAGCGCGGGGCCTACCGGGCCGAGGGGGTTGAGAGTCGCGGAAGGAGGGTGGACAGGCGGAGCACAGGTGGGCCTGGCCCTGGCACCGCAGCCTCGGGTGGGAGGTCCCTCCACTGGCTCCGGGAGCGTTGGCAGCAGGGCTGCGGTCAGTCTGCGGGGCCGCGGTCAGTCTGCAGGGCCGTGCTTTTGCAGCTGCTGGGTCAGCTGTGGACCTACAGACACACCCTGCCCCGGGGGGCTTTCTGGATGGGGGCGGAAACACCGGCTCAGGGAGGCCAACCCTGTGGCCACTCAACCTGTCCCTGGAGAGGAGAGCTGGGGTCAGCCCCAGGCTCCTGGGGCTCCGAATGGGCTGGAACCGACGTGTCACAGGCAGAGTCACCAGAAACCAGGCTGAGAGGGACCAGGGGCCCTGAGTGGGGCGGAGGGACACAGGACACCTGCAGACCAGAAGCCGAGGCCCAGAGACACGGTGTCAGCATCAGCACAGGGACACACTCCAGGGCCTCCCAGGACTCAGGATGAGGGCCCAGCAGGAGAAGGCGCTGGGGGCAGGTCCAGGCCTTGCAGGACCAGGCCACGGCCTCTGAGCTAGTGGCCAGAGAAGGGCTTTAGGCCAAGCCTCGAAGGCTGACTGGCTCAGGGTCCTCTTGGCATCCTTGTGTGACCTCCGTCCCCCAGGGACGGGCAGGACACCTGTCACTGAGGGTCTTCAGGGAAGAAGGGCAGGAGAAGTGGGGAGGGCCCACCTTGGCTTCACAACCTGCCTCGGCAGGTCGGGGGGCAGGGGGAGAGGGCCTGTCTGCTTCTGCTGTCCCTCAGTTTCCCAGAGCGGCTGGGTTTGGGGGTAGCCCTTACTGGACCCCACTCCAGTTTTCCACTTGGAACATGGAGCACCTGTGTCCCCTCTGTGGGGTGGCACTCCCCACCAGGCCACCCTGAGACCTGGCTTCCTCCTCCAGGAGGGTCTCAGGTTCCTCTCAGGACTGTCACCCTGAGGAGGGAAGGACCTTCCCACGGCGGCCCTCGGGGCAGCAGCTCTGGGTCTCGTCCTGTGGCCCTGCCTCTCACACTTGCTCTCTAAAGCTCACACTGGTACCGTCTCCACCAGGGTCCCAAGGACCAGCTGTCCCCATCCCTGCCTCCAGGGCACGGAACCAAGGACCGTGTCACTTCCTTGCCCCTTCCACTCCTCCCAGGGCCTGCCCCATCCCTAAACAGGCCTGTCTGCCCTTTGCCTCCCGTCCACCAGGCCAGGACAGAGGACTCCCTGCCTTCAGCCCGGCCATGCCTCCCGGCCGCGCCCTCCCACCCTGGCTTACCCGCCTCAGCTGGGGGTGTCTGGCAGGGGCTGCAAAATCTGCAGGGTCCAGTGGGACGTGGGGAGGCCTGGACGTGCAGGATGTGCCGTCCCCCCTGCAGGCCTCTCCTGGCCTGGTGCTCTCCATGAGTGTTGAACCTCGGGCTCCCTCGCAGGCCGGACATTTGCAGAGCAAGGCCCACTGGGGGGCTGCCCCATGACTGGGTGCCCAGGGCACTCAGCCATGACCTTCCTGGGGTAGAGGCCAGCAGTGGTCACTAGGAGGAGACAGGAGCTGAGAATCTGTCCCCTGTAGGAGCAGGGCCTTGACTGGGGGCCTAGCATGTGCCCTGCCATCCATCAGCCTGACCTCTCAAGCTCAAACACAATGTGAAGATCAAGTCCACAGCAGGAGAACGTGGTGCCATCCACCCTGCAGGGTGGAGGCGCCTGGACCAGGCCAGCAGCCTGCACAGAGCCCCAGCCCTGGGTCCCCTCCACGCCCTGACCTCCTCCCACTCCTGCAGCCCTGGGTGCTGGCAGCGCGCCCCTCCACATGCCTTCCCCTCCCTCCTGTCCCCTCCTGACCCCTCCCGCCCCCCCTTTCTCCTCCAGCCCCCATCCCTCTTCGGGTTCTGTCAACGCTCTCCTGGGTCAGCGGTCAGCGCACCTCCTCTGGGAGGGCTCCTGGGTTTCCACCTGGGGTCCTCACCCCTGGCTCCTGCAGGTGGCCTGGGCAGGAGCTGCTCTGTGTGGGGGCTGTCCCCACCCCCGTGCACACTTCCTGTGTCTGCAGGATAGAGCCGACAGCACAGGGGCATTCTGCGGGCCACTCTCAGGCCGGCTGTCCCCACCCTTCCCCGGCTCATTTCTGACGTCACGACCAAACTGTGGTTTCTCTGTTTCTGCTTGAAGCTCTACGTGTCATCTGACCTGGGGAAGAAGTGGACGCTTCTGCAAGAGCGCGTGACCAAAGACCGTGTGTTCTGGTGAGAGCCCTGTCCCCTGGGGCCCCTGCCCTGTCCCCACTGCACCTCCTAACCTGGGGGGCCTCCTGGCCTCTGCTCCTGAGGGCAGTGTGGCCCCGCTACAGGCCCAGGATCTGGCGTCCCTCGAGTCCTATTTGCACCTGTGAACCAGCTGCCCAGCTCTGTGTGCCTGGGCGTCTCCTGGGCCCTGGTTGTCCCCAGTGGAGAGGGTTATGATGTGCAGGGCCCTGGCCCAGTGCCTACACCCGTGGGCACCGCCTGGCTCCTCCTCCTGACCATCCTAACTCAGCCCTGCTTGGGAGCTGCCGCGCAGCCTCCGGGGCTTGCGGGCTGCTGGGGCCTGCATCTGGGCCTCAATCTCCTGCCCGCCAGGTGCCTGGGCTCCCACAGCCCAGCTAGTGGCCCTGCTCGGCCTCTGTGGGGTGCCTAGGAGCCAGGTCAGCGTGCAGACCTGACCCAGAGGCGTGCCCACCCTGGCCTGCTGAAGAGCCACGTAGGGGAAGGGGACAGGGGACCTGCATTCAGGGCGCCAGCTCGCGAAGGCATTAGCTCCTGGAGCTGCTCAGGGCCTCCCGGGCTCAGCCCAGGTTCTTCACCCCAGCGAGGCTGCCCTGACGCTCTGGGAGGGTCTGCTGGAGGCAGAGCCAGGCGTGGGCAGAACCAGCACTTACCCAGTTTCGGGCAGCTGACGGGAGCCCGCGCCCTCCTCCAGCCATGGCCACAGGCCCACGTGCTCTTCTGATCCGACGCCTGTTGAGATGCACAGTCACCTCACGTAGTCCCACGTGTGGCTCTGCTGTGTGTGTGTGTGTACATCTCTGTGCATGTATGTGCATACACGTGTGTCTGTGTGTGGTGTGTGTGCATATGTGTATATGTGCAGGTATGTGCATCTGCGTGTACATGTGTGTGGTGTGTGTGCAAATGTGTGTACATCTGTGTGAGTGTCTGTGCATATCTATTCGTGCATGTGTGCCTGTGTGTGGTGTATGCACATGTGCACATGTGCATGTGTGTGCACCTGTGTATGCATCTGTGTGTGTGTGTGTGTGCGTGTGCTCTCATGCCCCTCCTCGGCTCATACGTGCTCTGGCCTCCCAGCCAGGCCTGCCCTGTCCCCAGCACACAGCCCCATGGAGCGTCCCCTTCCCTCCTGCCCCGTTGGTGGCTTCATGCTGATGGCAGCAGTGGAGACTCGCTTCCTGGTCTGCCGAGGACTGAACGAGTCGGGCTCCTGCGTTGGTGCCCTTTGCTCTCTGGGGAGGTGACGCTGCCTCTTCATGCTGCCCAGGGGAGGGCCTGGTTCCACCTCAGAAACCAGGGCTGGGCCTTCAGTCACTGGCCTTGTCACTGAGGGCAACTCTTAGGAGCCAGAGCAGCTGTAGGAGGGGACCTATGGACCCTGAGGGTGCCCAGGACGGGGGATCAGGGTCAGGAAGTAGGATTCTGAGCCACGCCCGCCTGGGGAGCTGGCAGGGCTCTGCAGCTCTGGGACCAGCCTGGGGCAGGGGCCAGGCCCTGGGGCACCGCAGCCCTGGCCTGGCTCGCGGAGACTTCTGGCCAGAGAGAGGAAGTGGCCCTCAGACGCTGGAAGGGAAATCGGCGACAGTTCAAACAGGCTCTGATCTCCGGCAAATCAAAGTGTCCTTCCCCCAAGTTTCTCAGGTGGCTCAGGGTGAGAGCCAATCACGCCAGGCGCTGGCCGCGGGCTGGGGACCTCTCCTGGAGTGACAGGCATGCAGCCCCCTGTTGGACTGGGGAATAACTGTTTTGACAGCATTTCCAAGGGCTCTTTGTCCTTGAACTGACGGCAGGAATCAGCGAGGCCCGCGTTCTGCCTCAAGCCCAGGCTGTTAGCGCTTTGTGAGGTGCACACTAGCGAGCTCGAGGGGCACCTTGTGGACACAGCCCTCTGCCTCTGGCCCTCACCCTCCCTCGCCTCCCGGCTCTCCTGGAATGAAACCGTCATAGTGGCCACCAGCAGCTGCCCTGTGACCATCCACCAGGCCCTGGACCAAGGTCTGAGAGCATCCTCCTTGGGAGTCCCCAGCACAGCCCCCATCGTCCTCCCCTCCAGTTACAGAGGGAAGCTGGCTCAGGGAGACGAGGGCATCCATCCTAGTCACGATGCCCTCAGTAGCGGCCACCGGCCTTGGGTGCGATTGACCGTGGCCAGTGGTCACAGCTCTGACTCCTCTGCTGGGAGGTCACCCACAGCCCCTCACCAGATGTTTCTGTCTTCTCCCTCCTTGTCCCCAAGCTCACCCAGGGACAGGTTCGGCCTTCCTCTTCCTCAGCCCCAGTGCTGGCCCAGGTGTGGACAGAGTGCCTCTGTCAGCAGAAAGAGGAAGTGGCAGGAGTGGGTGTCCCAGGGCCGCATCTGGGGCGTCTGGATGGGGCTCTTGCAGCTCCTGCCCTCTCCGAGGCCACTGGCCCAGGAGCCATCTGTTCTCACAATGCTGCAGGAACAGGCCGGGACCTTCCCAAGTTCCGTCTTCAGGCACCTCGATGACGAGAGAGCCGCAGGCCGTGCCTGTTCCCTGAGCTGGCCAGGCTCTGCCTGGGCCTTGTTCACAGCCAAGGGTCCCTGGGCAGGACCAGGCCTCAGGGCCGCTGCCACTGGTCTACGGAGAGGGAGGCGGGAGGGAGGGAAAGAGGAAGCGCCTGAGTCAGCACAGGAGACACCAGAGAGCAGGCGTGTCCTCGCCCCCTCGACAGGTGGTGGCCAGACTGAGGCGAAGCTCCCGTCTGCTGGCCGAGGACTCTGCTAGGGGAACCCTGTCTCCTTGACTCAGAAGAGATGTGGGAGGAGCCTCCCTTCTGGGCCCAGGACTGCCTGCTCACGGCAGCCCCGTGCACCCCGCCTGGACACGCAGCGTCCCCCGGGGCCAGGGGACGGGTGCTGGCTCTCCTGGGCTTGGAATCCAGAGGACTCCAGGGTGTCCCACCAGCTGCCATCGCACCACCACATCCTGCCCGTCAGACCCACGTGGGGCCCTCCCTGTGCACCTGGCTCCACTCAGGGCCACCTGGTTGCCCCTGCTCCCTGGAGAGGTGGAGCCATGGGGTCGGTGGTGCCACGCAGGCTGGGAGCAGCTGAGGCCCGAAGGGACCAGCCACATGGGCTGTCAGTGAAGGGAAGGGACTGCCAGGGACGGCACCCTGTGGGGACAAGTCTGTCTCTGGGGCTGTGGGAGTGCTGCAGGGAAGGGCCAGGAAGTGACCTCAGTTTCTCTTGGGCACGTGTCCTTGAGAGCGGGTGTGGCAGGTGGGAAGGGGTTTGTGCAGGGGGGCTGGCTGGACATCCAGGGCAAGCAGGACCGCGGCTCCGGCTCCAGTTTCCTGGGGGTCCTGGGAGGCGGAGGCTGAAGCCAGCAGACCCCCCCGGTGCACGGGAGTGTGCACACAGCCACCACCGAGGAGCTCAGTGTGGGAAACGGGGGACCTTGGCTCAGCTCCCTTCCTTCCGACTCACGCTCCCCCGCTGGGCGGGCACTGGGGCAGCATGGATTCCGACCCTGTCCTGGCTCCCTGGAGACCAGCGAGGTGCCACCCGGGATGCGCCTCTGCTCCCCTTCTTTGGCCTCCTACAGGGCCCCGGGTGGCCAGCAGGCCCCCTGGATTCCCACGAGAGCCGGGAGCCCGGCAGCTCAGGACTGTGGAGCCGAGGCCACAGCTGATGTGGCTGTGTGCTCGGGCTCCCTCAAGGGGCGGGCCCGGGCCCAAGAGGGAGCCCGGCCGTCTGAGCCCAGGATGGCACCTTGAGTGACTACGCCCCAAGCCCCCCCACCTCGGCTGCTTATCCATGAAGCAGAGGCGACACCCCTGCTCTGTCTGTGAGGACCAGACAGTCATGACTGTGAAGCGCGTGGTTCGGGGCTGAGTGCGTAGGTGTTCGGGGGACGGCTCCTCCTCCCCCTCCTTCTCGCCAAGGAAGGCACTTAGACACCCGTTAGGTGCTGTGCCAAATAGACTGCAGCCCCAAGAGCCAGCTCCACCCTCTCCTGGATGAAGATTTGCTCTCGTACCACAAGATGGGGGAGAGCTCCCCATCTCTGCCTGTGTGGCGGGTGCCACTGCTCAGTGACAAACAGACTGCTTCCTGAGCCACACCACCACCAGCCCCACCTCCGTGGCCAGCAGACATGGTGTTTCGACAACCTCCGTCCCAAAGACTTTGAGCCTGGGGAAAATGTTCAGACATTTTTCCAGACTGTGACTGTTGAGGACAGGGAGACGCCAAGTAGGTCTTTATATTTTAAGATCTGACACAGAAACAGCACATAGTAGGTGCTCAGTAAATGGATGGACACATGCATGGAATGGGTGGGTGGGTAACTGGATGGATGGATGAATGGATGGATGGATGGGTGGATGAGTATGATGGGTGGGTGGATGGATAAATGGATGGGAGGATGGATGGGTGAATGGGTGGGTAGATGGATGGATGGATGGATAGACGGAGTGGATGGATGAGTGGATGGGTGGATGGGTGGGTGGATGGATGGATGAGTGGATAGGTGGATGGGTGGGTGAATGGATGAATGGGTGAAAAGATGAATGGGTGAATGGGTGGGCCGATGGATGGATGGATAGACTAGTGAATGGATGGGTGGATGAATGGATGAGTGGATAGATGAGTGGATGGATGTGTGAATGGATGGATGGATGAGTGGATGGATGGATGAATAGATGAATGGATGAGTGGATGGAGGGGTGGGTGGATGGATGAGTGGATGGATGAGTGGATGGATGAAAATATGAGTGGATGGGTGGATGGATGAGTGGATGGGTGGAAGGATGAGTGGATGGGTGGATGGATGAGTGGATGGGTGGGTGGATGGATGAGTGGATAGGTGGATGGATGGGTAGGTGGAGGGATGGATGGGTGGAAGATAGACAGATGGGCCGATGGTTTTGTTAAATGTGGCCACCCTACTAGCCTTGCTTTCCTGGAGAGCAGAGGCTGTGACTGATTCACCTCTGAATCCTGAACCCCAACATAGAGAGTGCTCTGCAGGTTCTGATTAAGTACACACAATAGGTTGACAGGGAGTGGCCGGGGGCACGTGGCTTTCAATAAACAGTGGTCCAGGGGCAGCCAGCAGATGTCGATGGAGTCAGCGGAGAGGGGATGCTCCTCACAGAGGGTTCGGCTGTGCTGGCCCTGGGCACCTGCCTTCCCTGCTCTACCTGGAGCTGAGAACCGAGGGGAAAAGCGCTGCCCATGGCCAGCAGTCTCAGGGCCAGTGTGACTATGGGAGGGCAGACTGTGAGAGCTCGGGGCAGGGCCTGGGGAAAGGGCAGGTGAGGGCCCTCCTGTCCTCTGTGGCCGCACCGCCCTATCTCCATGTGCGGTGGGGGAGGTGGTCTGGGTGGCGGGTCCTGGGCTATAGATCTTCCTGATGAGCTGCTTGACTTGGGTTCGTGTTTCCACCTGCCTGAGCCTTGGAATTCTCATCTGTGAAATGGGTGAGACCAAGTGCCCAGGGCTGCTCTGCCCTGAGTGAGGTAAGGTAACTAGAGCACCCAGGAGGGCCTGCACCTGAGGCTCTGCCCCAAGCGCGCTGTCAGGACAGGTGATGGCCTGACCCTGCCCCGGGGAAGCCCACTCTCCTCTCTCCTCTGTCTCCCTCTCATTCATAGGAACATACCTGGGAGGGTGGACATGGGCTTAGGGAGGACACTGGCAGGAACCCCACACTGCTATGTCACTGGTCTCCAACCCCAGGGCCTGGGTGGGCTGGCTCAGCAGGCCCACGGGCTCCTGGAGCCAGCCCTGGAGCAGCGCAAGCAGGCCCAGGAGCCACCAGCCCTGTGTCACGCTGTCACACTCCGTGCAGAGGCAGAGTCTGAAGGGTCAGGGCCACGTTGCCTGAGACAAGTGACAGAACTTCCCTGCCTCAGTAGGCTTCCTCATGATATGTGCCTGGCCACGCAGTCCGCCCAGGTGCAGGGGGCAGCCTGGAGCTAACAGTCCAGGGCAGTGACACAGGCAGGCTGCCCTCCCGAGCCTGTGCCCCACACGAGAATTGGGGCAGTCCCTGGGGCAGCACTGGGGTAGGGCTCGGGGTGACAGAGCAGAGCTGTGCGGGGCAGTGACCCAGAGTCGGGGCAAAAGGTCAGGGCAAAGGGTCAGGCAGCGGCTCAGGTTGGGTCCCGGCTGAAGCCCAGGTGGCCTGTGGTGGCCTGTGGTGGCTGTGTGGCCTCAGGCAGGCCACCCGCTCTTCTGCGCGGCCCTACTTGTGAAGCGAGCGTGGCAGCCCCAGCTGCTGCCTCCTGAGGTGGCCAGCAAGGCCCCCGTGAAGGAGGGTGAGCTTCGTAAACCGTCCTGTGAATGGGAGGGGGACAGAACACCGCACACCAGGCTCCCACAGGCGGAGGCCAGGTCTCGTCTGCCGCAGGAGCAGGAGGCCCTTGGGGAGGCACAGAGGCAGAGACCTCAGACCCAGGAGGGCCAAGAGGCAGTGGGGTGTGGGGATCTGATGCTGGCCACCCTGATGCCATCTCCACCTGTTCTTTTCCAGGGCTGTGTCTGGGGTAGACACCGACCCCAACCTGGTCCACTTGGAAGCCCAGGACCTCAGTGGAGGTAAGGAGGAGGGGCGTGGTTGCAGGGGTCTCGGTGACCTGCCCCCACCCCACCCAGCCCTGCCCCTGCTCAGCCTCAGCGGTGGCCCTGCAGGCCGACTGTGCCGTGTTATGAAGAGGCATGATTTTAAATGTGCTTGTTTCCCCGCTGGGGATCCACTGAAGCCACGGAGCTCCACTCCAGCCGAAAAATCTATTAAGAGGGTGATTTGTTCTGGCCCCTGAGCATCTACGCTTCTGCTCACACTGTCCTGCCAGAGTGTGCCGAGCCTGAGGTGTGCGGGCTCCCCCGGCCCCAGCCGAGACAGGGGCCGGGCTGCCCAGCCCACTGGCCTCCTCCAGGGAGCCAGGGCCTCGCAGGCTGCTCTGTATCCCTCCAGGAGGAGCACTGGGAAGGGAACCACAGAGGGTCCTAGAGCCCAGGGTGTTTGAGCACCATGGAATGTTCTGGAACAACAGAGATGAGAGGACCATAGATTGTACCTCTGTCCACCAAATGCAGATATGAACAGGACAGGCCCCTGCCTGGTGCGTGATGGCGCCAACAGGACTACCTTAGCAGCAGCAGGACCCGCATGGCGGGCAGCAGGGGCGTGCTGGGCGGGGGAGGGGGAGGTCAGGGCGTGAGGACGGGCCTGTGCTAGGTGCTTGCTGGCCACGCCTGCCTGCTCACGCCTGGCTCTCCCTTCTGCCGCTGGGCCTGTCCCTGTGCAGACTGGCCAGGCCGTGTTAACCAGGGCAGGGCTGGTGGGCAGCAGGGCAGCGGTCCCTGTGGGGACTGGGCCCCGCAGGTGGAGTCCCACTGAGACCCAGGGCAGGTGCCTCCCCGTCCTCAGCTCTCTGTGGGGCCCACCACGGGGCCGGGAGGTGGGCCGCGGTCATTGTGGGTCCCCTCTTGATAACCAAGCGGCCAAAGCTCAGAGGAGGCCTGTTTGCCAGACAAGGTCATGGAGAATCCTCCCCCGCTCCCGCCACCCTCTCTCATCCTCTGGGGTCTTCACCAAGCCCCAAACACCCTGGCCCCGTGCAGGTGGCACAAGGACACCACTCACAGCAGGGCAGGTTGTCCTTGTGACACCCAGCTGCCCACCAGGGAGAAAGAGGCCCACGTCCTAGAGGGGCCAGCCATCCTGGCAGAGAGGGGCCACAGCAGCCAGCTGCACTTGAAGAGCCCCCAGGGTCGCCT